GAGAGAGCAGAGACTTTGTATAGTGTGTTTTCTTATTCATGCATAGGAACATGAAGCTGCTGGGTGAAGTGACTGACTGGTCACTACAGGATTTGGTTTTTTCCATTCAGTAATTCAACATGAATAATATTAAGATAATGTTTGTGTACATCTTCTCTAGGCAAAGCACTTGATCGACATGTCAGGAGGTAGCTCAGAGTTGTCAACTTCTTGCAAGCAGACATGCTATGATTGGAGTAAAAATCATATTATAAGAAAAAAGAAAAAATCTCTACTGTTCCTGAAAGAAGAGAAAGTCTTGCTGCCATTCAGGTGAGGAAAAGGGCTCTTTGGAACTTCCTCCATGCTTCTGAGCTATTTGTCTGAGCATTTCCAAAAAATGGAAGGGAAGGAGGAGGCTAGTGTATATATACATAATCATCCCCTCTGTATTATTTCTGTTTTTCTTAAAATTTATATGACTTTATTGCTGAGTTAATTCAACACTTGAATATCTGTAGTTGAGTTTAATGTAGTTGAGTTTCTCCTGAAAAATAAAATGGTGAAAAGTCTATATTGAACAAATACTTGCACATTTCCAGTTGTTCTGGTTTTGGCAACCTCAATATCTTAGATCTGACATAACTTTCAATATCAATTTAATATTCTGAGGGTCATCATTCTACTAGAATAAACAAAGTCAACAATATTTCCTTTATGAATTAAACCTTCAAAGGTCTAACATTTGAAGATGAATAATTAACCAGTGATCACAATTATTTTTATTGTCCAGAAACATAAATTTGAACTGCAATTTTACGTGGTGCTAATGTTGTAAATAACTTCCTATCAGGTTTCTATTTCAAGTATCTATTTTATTGGCATTTCAAAGAATAATGTGCATAGAACAGTATAAGGAAATGTAACTGAAAGTACAATTAACTAAAACTTACACCATCACAAGATCTCATGTGCAGCAGCAGCAGAGTAACAACCTTCTAAACCTTTCTAAGCTATATGTATTTGTTTTTGTCAAGGTCAAATAGCCATCACAAGCCTTGAAATCAGCAGTGCAAGTTTTACAAGAGGCTCCATCTAGCAATACACTGGTGTGAAACAACAATCTGAAGAGATCAATGTCATCCTGCTAGAAAGTAAATATTTTTATAACCACATCCATGGCAACCACAAAACTCTTCACCTCCCCAAAGTGATCCATAATGCTTGACTTGAGAAGCTGATTTAAAGCTCTGAGAAGGTATCACTAGCCATAATTTTTCTTGGCCATAAAAGTCCCAGGAAGATAAACGTAGCTTTTCTGGGCCATCATTTTACAGAAAAGAAACACTCAAAAGATATCTTTAGAAATTGCTATACTTGCTCATTTTGAAACTGTAAATCCTCCAGGGGGACTGGTGGTGCTAGACTGTAGGAATCAGTATCAATTATTTTATATTATGTACTTTGACTTCAGTGTCAACCCAGGCAATTGACATCTCATTTTCTCATTTAAAGACTTTGTGTAACACCACTTACATCTTCTATACTACTTTTCACAAATTAATCTCAGTGCTCCTTACTAAGATCAGTACACATATTCCATGAACGGATGAGAATTCTGAGAAGTTAGAGACATGGAGATAAATTAATTTGCGGCGTCAACGGCCGACTAAAGCCAGTAAATGCAAGTTTCCAGAGTCAGAAGCCCCTGCCCTGTCCAGCAAGCAGCACTACCTCTGTATGTAAGTGCTTTGGACAGCCTTCCATGCACCAAAGTTATGTTTTATGCCAGTTTCCAAAGGCCTCTCAGAAACTCAGTGGCATTTTACATTTTGCTCTTACCACTGAAATGAACTGACCCCATTTCTTTCCAAGTGAGTGGCAGGAAACCTTGCACCTGCTCTGGTCATGGAGGCAGATGTCGAAGGCAATGGAAATCTGTCAGCACCAGGTAATTTAGCCTACACTTCAGGCTGCATTTCTGAGCTCATTCATGCTAGATGTGTGCAGTGCTAGACCAAAAGGCATTACAGAATTAAGCTGAACCAGGTTTGGGTACATAACTCTATTACTGCTGAATAGGCACAGTCCGCCTCATCCCACATTTACACAGGCGCTAAAGCAGCTACATAAAGGATGGATAATACGTGATCCATCATAAAACCTGTCTTTATAAAGCTAACTAATTTTGAACACATTTGAAACAACAGACTGAGTTAATAGCAGACCAGTGCTTTGCACGACTACAAAGAATCTCTTAGTAGGAACAGTTAAGCTGAATTTACTGTGCCATTAAACCACAGTCTCAGTGCAGATGTAGGCTGGTTACCAGCACACATGGAAATCCACACAGCAGTTAATTCATCTTCACAGTATGCAAATTGGGGATGTGGGAGCAAAACCTGATCAAGATCCATCAGCTGGAATATTTCATTTATGTGGTAACTTTCTGCTTTTCAATTCTCTTTGGTCAAAGAATAACACAGATTTGGCCTTTGCCTAAATAGAGAAGAGAGCTCCAGTTTCAGAGCCAGGAGACACAGACTGCACCCCTCTTGCTGCATACACATTGCTGACTGACAGCAGCAGTAATCAAATATTTATGCAGACCCACAGTGCAAACTCTCAGAGCATCTAGCACCATTGTTTAATGCCTCCAGCTCAGCTTTACCATGGACATGGAATCTGGCAGATGAGTAGCTGCACTGATAGCAGATATTACTAAAAACAGTCCTCTTCCCTGTCAATTGCACAGGTGTCCCAGAGAAGGGGCACCAGAAGCAAAGGGATGCTCCTACCACAGCAGCTGTTCTTTAGATCTCAGAGCTTAGACTGGAAAAGATCTACTAGGCTGCAAACACCTGAGACTGAATTACATGCTAATTTATTTACAGGTTTGCAAATCCTTAGGAGAAGGATCATACTATAAGCTGGGGCATTAGTACTGAGGGTCAGAAATATCCTGAAGGGTCAGTCAGTGAAGACAAGGCACAACATTAGAACAGGCTGATTTAAGGTACACAACTCCAATACTGCTGAATCTGCACAGCAAGTTTTGAAGTTATGCTCTGTTAAAGCACATTTTCTCACAGAAAAAAAAAAAAAAAAAGAAGAACATACATATATATATATACACATAAAGTCACTATTTGATTTTAGTAACTGGGGTTCTTTCAGCTAATTCCATATAAAGGTCCTCACTAATATATTTCTCCTTAATTTTACAGAAGAACATCTACTCTAGCTGCTTTAAAATAAGCGGAGTTAAGAATTAGAAGTATTTCCTTAAAGTCACAGGAGTACCGACAGATAGTAGGACCTGCCCTACACCTTTCAGCTTAATATCAGAACTGTTCTCTGTTCTCTCAAATATACCGCTGCAAACCAGTAAAAGTTAATCTACATTATAGACTTCTATTAGTTCCTTTGATTTAGCCAGGAATTGCTCATCTTCACATTTTACAATTATTCCAGAAGTTAGGAACAGCTGAGAGGAAACAAAATCCCCCTAAAAAGCACCATCACCGTTTAGAAAGGTAAGCTGCACAACACCACCTGTCAACACAAACTAGAAGGCACACTTCCAACAAAGAGTAAGCAAGAGCCTGTCCATGCCCTGTGGCCATGTAGCTCAATGTGAGTGCAGCTGATCCAGTATTCACAGCCAGGATGAATATATGACATTCCAACAGGGCTCAGGAAAAGCCTTGGGCACCTCTGTAACAATCTACAGTGGGATCGCTCTTCAGATAAAGTACAAGAAAGGTGCATAACTCTGTTGTAATTACTAACTGGAAAAGAGTGGAAAAGAAAGCAGCTATTATTTCAAAAACTTGTTTATTCACAGATCTACCACAGCTTTGACAGTGAAGCATCTCCTGTATTTAACAGCCAAAACAAGCCTACAATCACCTATCTACTAGAGATCGACAGAATTCCCAAGGGCACTGGCACAGAGGGTACCAGCTGGGAGCAGGCTCTGACCTCACAGCCTCATCACTATTGGCCTGAACAGCAATCTGGCATCTCAGTGTTCATCCTCTCTCCCATGGCACTGCTCCTGCCAGAGATCCCACATCACACATCAGCCTGAAGCTTCGCCTGGTTATTTTAACTTTGAAGTCAGCAAAACCAACAGCCATTCCACTGCTCTGGTGAAGCACAATGTATTTAAGCCTTGAAAACGAATGTAGTCTGATAAGTTAATCCTTGAAGCTTCAACACAACAAAAACTTCACACAAGAAACTCAAAAAGTTAGTTGGGGCAGTCAGCTCTTTAAGACCTTTAATTATTAATAGTGTAGATGAGTGGAATGAAACACATCACTTTTAAGAGGAGATGCTGAGTATCTGTTGCTCAACACACTGAGGGCACACGGGCCTTCAGAGGGACCCCAGGGTCGTGCTGTTCACCGCCTACCACTAAGGCAAGTGACCGAATTTAGCACTGCCTGGCCCTCCGTATGTTCATTGATAGCTTATGGACTACCTGCAAAAAACAAATTCACTACCAAACCCAAAAGGTGTCAGTTCGTCTCCCACTCTGCACAGGTGTACCTGTGAGAAGCAGTAAGAACGTAAGGAAATGCTTTTTATTGACCTAGGAAACAAAGATAAATTGTTTAATTAACTCTCACATCATGACTATTTGTGTGCTATAAAGTGCAAAACGTAAACAACCAATGTGGTTACAGAAAAGTCTCCAGAACTCAGCTCCCTGTCTGCCAAAACTCGTCTTTCCGCTACGGGACGTGATGATAGGGCAGATACCACGGGCGGCTGCACACACCGCGTGTGCCCTGCGCTACTCCTCAGCTCCCCGGCGGGACGTGTGCCCCCGCCGTAGAGCCGCTCTTGCTGCGTGGGCTCGTCCTTCCCCCGCGCTCCGCCTGCGGGCACGGAGCCTGGGCAGCCGCAGCGGGTGATGCGCTGAGGGACACCCCAGTCCCTCACCCCGATCCCTCATCCCAGTGCCGGCCGAGCGCTCGGCCGAGGCTCCCCCGCCCCTCCGCGCCACTCACAATCTCGGTCACCATGAGGAGCCCCGGCACGGTGCGCAGGAACTCCTTGTCGTAGGCGAGGGTGCTGGAGCTGGCCGACAGGTTGGCGGTGAAGGAGCTGCTGGTGGTGGTGACGGTGTGCGAGCGCGGGCGCGGCGGATGCTCCTGAGGCGGCACGGGCGGCTCCATGGCCGGCGCGGCTGTCGCCGGACGGGCGGCGCGGAGGCACCGCGCTCGCCGCTTTGTGTGGCCCCGGCGCCGCGGGCAGCCCCCGCCCGGGCCGCGGGAGGAGGAGGGCGCTCGGCGCCGGCCCCGGGCGGGGAGGCGGGTCCGGAGCGGGGCCGCCCGCCCCGGAGACCGCCCAGCCCTCCCGCCGCTGCCCCCGGGCGGGACCCGCGCTGCCAGTGCGGGGCATCCCCGACGCCAGGGACCGAGGGTCGGAGCGGGTCCCCTCTCGAAACCATCTCCTGACCTCACGGACTGTTACACACTGGGATCCCGTCTGCTTCCAGTGCGGCCGAGGAGCCAAGCTGAGCCACTGCTGTCTGTGCCACAGCCCCGGGGGCGAGCTCGGTTTGGAGCCTCATGCGCCGGCCGTCATCGTCCCTCGGGCTGTCACCCCTGGCTCCACGGGTAGCAAAGGCTGGCAGAGCCGCGCTGGTGCTGCAGGGGGCTGTCCCCACCAGCTGCCATCGCCTGGGAGAGGAACCGCCGCCAAGTGCCGCGGGCGGCGAACAAGAGTTTAGGAGCTAACACAGCCCTCCCAGAGCTGGAAATGGGGGCTTTGCTGGGGTCTGCCAAATAACCAAGAGACTGAACAACGCAAAAGACTTTTAAAGGCCATAAAAGTCACTGGAAATGCAAAGCATTAAGTCATTATTGACCTATACTACCTGGCAGTGTTGAGCTGTTCCTTAACCTGTATTTTTCAGTATTTCAGTCTGAAGTGTCATCTTAAAAAAAAAAATAAATCCAAACATTTTTTGATCTTTTAAGAGCTTCTAAAGAGATTTTCCATTCCACAAAAACCATTGGGTTTCAACAATAATCAAGCAGGTTATAGTTATTTTCAACTTTCAGGAACTCTAATTAGCACAGGATTTTGTGGCCATTCAGTAAAAATGAAGTGTTTTCCACATGTCTGGTGGCTATTGTCCTTGAATTGTTTACTGCTGCTCTCCTACTCGATAACAAAGGCTGGATTTTGTGGTATTACCTTTCAGCAAGGGATTGAAGCAGCTGGGGAGGGAGGAGGAGACATATGGGAGAGTTTCTCCCAGAAATACAGGAAACATGAATTACCCAAAGGAACTGTTCTTGTGCATTATTGTGCCTCGCTCACAGTGTAAATGTCTCACCGTAGAGGCTCCATGGGCTTCTGGGCTTCTTGGAATGTGTATCTTGGCTCAGCCTCAGTGGAGCCTTCATGCTCTCTACACTCTTACTAGGAAAAGAACTCTTGCTAGGTCGAAGTATGCAATTTGGTGAAGCCTTTCAATGTAAGTGTTTTAGACAGTGGTGACTTTTTTATTTAAGATGGCAAAAAAAAAGTGGCAGAGTTTTGCAAGCATGAACTGTAGGTCATCAGAACACAATGCCTGTCACTTGATGCAACAAGATATAGATAGCTTTTCTTTTTTTTTTTTTTTTTTAAGGAAAGAAAAGACCATTAATAAACCACACACTCAAACCACTGAACACAACTCCTTAATCATGAAACAAGGAATTTTATACTTTTTGGCAAAACCTTTTTTTTTTTTTCTGTGACATTAACAGTATTATTTTTTTTTGTGCTCCTATTTTATCTCTTCCTTTTATATTAGAGCTGATATTTTAAAGGAACAGAACACAGCTATGCACTAGTCTGTCTGGAGGCCTGCTTCAACTGGCTTGCAAGTAAAAAGTGCTTTATCTGATTGTTCAGCACTGCCAAGGTTCCTTCCAATGCCAGATCTACTTTGCCATGCCCCTGTGGCTGTTTGCAAGGATCCATTGTAACAGCATCAATTTTCCTCTCTGAGAGATTCCTGTCTTTTCAGTTTTCCACCTAGAACAGTAAAAGTGAGGAAATGTGGGGCTAAAATTCATGCCACTATCAAAATTAACACTAATTTCAAAGTTGTTTGAGCCATTCACATCACTTTCCCTTTGAGGGCTGGTTTATTTTACGCTGGATGTATATTCTCATCGTGTTTCCAGGGTGTTATTCACTGGTTTCAGTGTTCATGCATAATTCTAAAACTCTTTATTTATACCCTAAACTCTTGAGGGTCAGTGTTGGTTTTCTTTCAGCCATCAGAATTAGAACAATAAATTTCATTGCTTTTGGTCTGCACATCTGTTGTTTGAGCATCCCAGCTCCTGTAGGGGAGAAAAAAAAAGTAAAATAAAAACATAGACAGGGAATCCATTGTTTTCTGCTTCAGCTATATTAATATACTGTACCACTTTCAATGTCTATTGTAGATGTCTAGTATCATGATCAATTCAACAAGAACTGGAGGGCTATACTTGTGGGCAATTTCTCTGAACACTGGCTGCCACTCTGATTTCCCTGGTTAGCTTATTTTTCTCCAGCAAACATATTCAAAGAATGAGTTTCCCTAAAAAATGGGTAAACATTCCAGAAGCTTTTCTGTATCTGATATTCCTGGAAGCAAATTTCATTCTTTAACTTGACAACATAATACTTGACATTTTGAATGTTAATTATGAGGCTCTAATTTTTTTGTTTTGCATCCTTGCACTGAGGGCTAGAGCTGGAAAGCCTTCAGGGACCAGCTAAGCCTAGCTAGATTTTTTTACATGTAGATAGCATCAGAAACAGAATAATTGAATGCTGCTGCTTGAACAATCAACCTTTTATTACAGAACTACCAAGAGAGAATAAGGTGGCCCATTTTCTTTATTTTAAATTAACCTTTCAAGGGAAGAATAGGCAAGGCTTTTAAACACCAGTCAAGATTGTAACCTCCTGTGGTCAACTACTGTAAGGAAGTAAACTCTGATTAGGGAAAAAAGATGCAATTTGGTGAATGTAAATGTTTTAGTAAAAGCAGAATAGTGGATAAAGGTATTATCAGGTTTCTCAGTAAAGGGATTATTCCTGAATGTCTCATTATCTAATTAACAAGAGTCTTCCATTTAAGCTGGTTTTGTTCTCAAATCCTGAGGTACCAACACTTTTAACATTACTGATCGAGCTCTCTAGAATTACTTTCTTAGCAACAATCTGGCTAGCTGGAAGTGCTAATTAAAGTAGACTCACAGGTCCAATGAGTGGAGCTGACTGGAATTTCCTGAACTGTTTTTCTGGTTTTGAAATAGAGCTTCCCTTCCCCCTTCCTAAACCCTAGGAACAGGGATATATGTCGGATGTCCAGGACAAATATTCTCACCCTTGACATCCTACTGTGCTAATAATCTGAGGATGAGATATTTTTAGTTAGCATTAAATCAAGAAATGATTGGAAATTTCCTAATGGCTTTTCAGAATTAGCAAAGTGTAGGTTTTGAGCTACAAAAGTATTCAAGTAAAAAATTTATAACATATTTTACCCTTCAACAGCTTACAACCAAAAACTGATTTATACTAACCCAAACCAGAAATACTTGATTTGTACTTTGGCAGTAACATGTGCCACAGGCACATGATCAATCAAGGCAAACACCTCTGTGTAGGAATCCGTATTTCACAAAGAAAAGATGATTTTCATGACTGAGGTATTTGGATCTTCCAATTTTGCTGCAACAGAGAGAGAATAGATGAGATGCATATATTTTCAAAATGGCCATTATTTGGCAAATCCATAGAGAATCTTTGTTTGTACATGGGGTTACTGAACATGAAGCTTGTTTTGTTTTGCAGCTTGGGCACCTAAAATTCATAAACATAAAATCAAGACCAATTCAAACAACAATCAAAGTAATGACAGTGCATGGGATTTTATCAACAGATGCTTGTTACAACCTTAATGCTGGAAAAGGCAGAATTTAGCTGTATGTGTTCTGTACTCCTCTTATCACAAATATTTCTTTCTTTACATGACGTTTACTTGAGTCCAGACTGTAGATACACAGTCATTTTACCTGCCAGAAAGCTGTCTTACAACATATTTTGCCATACAGATAATTAACTCTGTGCTGGGAACAGTAACATACTGACTTCTAGATTTTATTTTTCAGTTTTGAAACCCACGACACTAAGTAAACTGTGTGGTGATAGAGACTGTGCTAAGAAAAGAAAGCACAGAGTACATAAGCCGTGTATTTTCTTTGCATTAGGCTTTCACCAGCTGTTTTATCTGCTCTGGGAATCTAAAGATCCCTCCCAGCCCTGCAACACAACTATGTCACAGATACCGTACTGAGGAAAAATTACTTCTTTCAGAGCTGACTTGTACTTAGAACACACTGTCCCTGCACACTGAATATATGTGCTTAACTTCAGGGCAGAGAGCACATTTATTCAACTTAAAAAGAGTTTGTAGTGAGAAGTGTGAAGTCTAGGTACAAATCTCAGAACAGGAGTTGTGGTTTTCATGCTTAGGGGCCTCAGCTCTGTAGGGCACCTGCAAGAGCAGGTCTGCATTTTATTTCCCAGGCTGCTTCCCAGCTGCTCTGGGCCGTCTTGTTCTCCAGCGAGCCTGCCAGCACAGCTCCAAGCACAGCTGGTGGCTGTGCCTTCTCACACCTGCAAATCAGAGGCCACCCCAATACTCAAGAGCGTCTGGTGTCAGGTTGTGTGAGGAAGGAGCTGATTCTGCCCCTGAGCACGTCCAGGCAGGCTGTCCCTGAGGCACACTCATAAAAACTTTCATTAGGGTCAGCAGCCTGCCACAGACCTTTAAATATTATTATGGAGCAAACACATACTAGTGATTATATCACTGAGAAGATAAACATTTCCACTGAAGACATGTGCATTTTCTACTTGCTAAGGGTGGTGCTTGCCTAAGTGTTTATGGAAATCGCAGCAGGTAATGTTTATACAACACCCAAGCCCAGTGCAAAACAGCTGAAGGAAAAAACCACCTTCAACAATTGTCAGTGTCATATTTGTTTTTAGATAATTAATGAAAAGTTGTATTATTTTACCATGGTTTCATCACAGCACCATCCAAGTTTAAGGAGAGAGTTCACAGCCAACTCAGTTTGCTTGCAGGCTTAAATAAAATAATAAACAGTCAGCTGTGTTGTTCTGCTGTGGTTGGTACAACACCATGACACAGGCCTGAGACTTAAAGTGTCCCTTAACTCAAATTATGAGCTTGCTGTGTCTGTAT